AGGCGAAACCGCCGAAACGTCAGCAATTGTGTTCTAATAAATTCTATATTAACAACCTCGTGTCTGCTTATTGATGAAAAACATTGAATTATCAATTAATGCCGAGGTTAACAGAAAGTCGGTCATGGGAATTAACACATGAATATATCAGGAGCATTGTAAAAATTGTCAGCTCTACTGTGCTTCGGTCCTGGAACAGGTCCTTGAAAATTAGCAACCGGGAATTGTCAATTGGCTATTGGCACCAATTTCGATATATCAAAGTGATTAGTACTCATAGCCATGCTCGTCCTTTTTTTCAAGTTCTTCCGAAACAGGGCTGTCTATGAAATAATGTTGTTTCGAGGTTTTTAAACAGCATACATTTACTTCCATAGAAAAACACAATACAATACAACGCTAGCTGACGTTTCGGCAGTATGGCCTTCTTCAGAGCCTGGAAGGGTATACTGTTATACAATCTACTAGGCCAAACGCTTCAATAACACTTACAAAAAGACGCAAAACTCTATGGTAATTACGTGATCAACAGCTTCTCGAAAAAATCACCGCTTTCTACGTGACTTTCAATGAGGAAGTTTGGAACAGCTGATTGTAGTCGCATATGATTGACGACTGCACCATCCACATCAAAAATCGATGCGAACGTACAGGATCTGGTCGCGTATGACTCCTGGGTATTCGTCCCTGCTATTCATTGCAGGGTTTTTGCCATTTATCCAAAAAGCCTCGAGGAGTTTTCGCGCTGGTGTTTTAGTCTCCTGTGCAAGGATATTGACTTTTACTTCAAAATCGACTCCGCTATGCTTTTGTATCCTGTGCGTGCCTAATGGGGTACTTTGTCTTAGTTATCGCTTGCCATCTAGGTGTTCTTTTATGCGGATACACTAAGATCTGCCCGTTTCGCAAATATATTCGTCTCTGCAATTATTACAAGAGATCATATCGTACCTGAACTCATGTAATCACCGTCCCTGCCGTAAGGGCAATTTACGCAATTTGTTGTTTCACACAGACGTGCATACAGGCGGTTACAAACTAAATGACGACGTAGGGTAGCCGGTGGTATTTCGTCCATGTGAAACAACAAATTGCGTAATTTGCCCTTACGGCAGGGACGGTGATTGCACGAGTTCAGGTCCGATATACCTGATCTCTTGTAATAATTGCGGAGATGAATATATTGCCGAAACGGACAGACCTTTGTGTATCCGTATAAAAGAACACCTAGATGGCAAACGAAAACTAAAACGAAGCATCCCGCTAGGCACGCATAGGATACAAAAGCACAGCGGAGACGATTTTGAAGTAAAAGTCAATATCCTTGCACAGGAGTCCAAAACACCAGCGCGAAAACTTCTCGAGGTTTTTTGGATAAATGTCAAAAACCCTACAAGGAATAGCAGGGATGAATGCCCGGAGGTCATATGCGACCTGATCCCGTACGTTCGCATCGATTTTTGATGTGGGATGGTGCAGTCGTCAACCACATGCGACTATAATCAGCTGTTCTAAACTTCCTCATTGGAAGTCACGAAAAAAGCGGTGAGTTTTTCGAGAAGCTGTTGATCGTGTAATTACCAAAGAGTCTTTTGTCTTTGTGTAAGTGTTATTGAAGCGTTTGGCCTAGTAGATTGTATATCAGCATACCCTTCCAGGCTCTGAAGAAGGCGATACTGCCGAAACGTCAGCTACTGTTGTATTGTATTGTGTTTCTCTATGGAAGTAAATGTATGCTGTTTAAAAACCTCGCGATTGCTGAACAAGAAAAGGACGCATTCAATTCCAATGCCGAGGTTAATAGAAAGTCGATCCTGGGAACTAAGACAATTTTTAGTATGGTGGGCATTCTCCGTATTTTCACGAATGCCCTATGTCTTTCCGTATTAATCTAAAATTCCTATTACTAATGTTGGTTTTCTGAATGGCATCTACTTTTACTTCCTCCCAGGGATGGATTGTTCAACGTCATGGCTGGTAACGATTTCATTTCATACCATTTTGAAATCACAGACAGGTCCCTCATTGCAGAAGAAAATATGAGCGACGTGAATCTCTTCTCTCCCTTAGGGTTTTACACGTTTCACCCGCTTTATGATTCCTTAGTCCATGCAACTGCAAAATTCAAATGACGAGTTCACCATTCAAGAAGGAATTTTAATCTTAGTCATACTTTATGCACACGCGTTCTAACCACTGAAGCAATGAATCAATCTTTCTTTCTTACATAACTTTTTCCAATGCCAATCTCTTTCTGATGTTCGTGTTTTCCTAATTTATTTTGCGTAGCGCTACACGAAAATTTAATTGCCCAAATTTGAGATGTTAAGCAATCGCAACACAACTACTATCCCTGAGATATATCGAGACTACACAGACATATATTAAACTCCAGCAGAACGCCGCTGGAAAAAAAAGGGAAAAAAAAGAAACCTCATTCTTACTGCGCGCAACTACTCTGTCCCCAGTGAGTCCCAACTGTGCTAGCACGGCCGCCATCTGCTTAGGGTTGATGCCGCAGTTATTCGCAACGTTTCGCTGACACCTGAATCCTGTCGTAAAAACGCAGTTTTAAGGAAACATAGTCGAGAAAACTGAGAATGGAAATCTTCTAGTTCCCATTTCTTGAACGATTTTGGAAAAATTCTAACCAGTAGTTATTCAAAACTCTAGTGAGCAAATGTAATACTAGAATACTGTCCAAGAGGCTAGAAAGAGGAAGAAGAGGATCTGGAGAGTAAAATGACATTGTGTGCAACAACTGGGTTCGATTGCGATTTATGCTCTCTAGATCATCCCTGTTGACTGGCGACTGCTGATAGCACCGATAGGGTTAAAACATAGCTGGGAGAAAAGTAAAACAAGGCCTTCGGTTGGTGTCGTGGGCAGCACTTGTGCTCCCGGTAAAGGTAATGGTGTGGTTCGAATCTGGCTTGAAGTCCGGTCGGTGTTTTGCTCATAAATGAGCATCTTCATGGTTGTATTTTACATCGTACCTTGGTATTAAAAAACAACGGGCAGAAAATAAAAGTTTGAACATTGTATATAGGCCTTTTTAACGTTAACGCAGAAATCTGGAAAGCTACGAATTTTTCAGTCTGGGTGATATCTTCACGCCTTAATACATTAGGATTTCGAAAATCGCTACCTCGGTACTTTCAAAATCGAAAAGAACGAACGTGCTAACCAATAATGGAAATGTCAAGCATGTCATCTCAATTCTCTGTCATCGGAAAGTTTAAGCTATCTTTTAACAACGTTAACTCAAATCCTTTAAACAAAGTTCTCCATACGTCAGCGCAAACAAGGCAGAAATTGCACTACTAGTTACTATTTCTTTTAATAACATACATAGCTGTGTTTGCAATTACATCTCTTCCAAATGATAGATAAGCTGACGCCATATAGATTAAATGCACTCCTTGTTCACTACATTTGAAAAGAACCTTATTCTCCAAAGATGGTTTTTAAAAGTATAATACTACCGAACCCTTCGCACGGTTTACCGCTTATCGTGGCTGGGAAGTGTTCCTAGGTGTCGGCCTGAGATGTAGAGCAAGAGGACTCAACCCGCCGCACGGTCTCCTAAACTGAGAAGGAGTTCAGTATTTCCACCAGGAAAGCCAGCCAGGAGTAAACTAGTAGTAGGGTCCACCACCGTACTTGTTTCAAACTATTCGCATGGTGGTAAATCTCGCTCTGATCCACAAGGGCCGCGACTGCCTGTGGTGGTGACGATCTGGGGCGAACTTTGCCCACGCTGAGCTCGGGACTCCAGGAAACCGCAGTGGCTAAACCAGCAAAACTCCGGGAAATAGAAATTATGCCGAGACCCACATAACCAGTAAAGACTGGTCATCGAGGTGTGAAAATAAGTAGTGGTACCGATCGACCTCATTGACGATATTAAAGGAACAGTTGTGCAACGTTTGATCTCATAACCATCGACTTGTGGCAATAGGTGGAGTAAGTTTGATGGAGCTGACTCTTAGAGAGATCTTGTCTACTGTACACTTACCTTTTATGTACGTTAAGGTTGCAGAAGGAACAATGTAGCCCCTGGCTAACCAGGCCGTAGAGCAAGGATCCGCAATGATTGCAGAATGTTGGGCGCATGTACGAATGAACGGAGAAGCGATGAGGCATGTTGATGTTGAACCGACCCATTCCTGGCTGCAAAATTTCAAACAAATGAAAGGATGAAAAACAGCTTGATATAACTCAACAACCTCCTCAATGATCTCTTGAACGGTTTTGTTGCCAGGGCATTTCCACACCACTTCATGATGACATCGTTTATGCACTACAACGTTGCAGACTGGAAAAGGAACATAGAATTTCACGAATTCACGCACCAAGCTTAACTTCATCCTCAACAAACTTCAACAGTACAACATCAATTTTAATGTAGTTTTAATTCATTTTTCATTCATTAAACCAGTGATTAGAGGTTCGCTGCTCGACAGAAGTGGGTCGTCGTTGGTTCGATGCATAGATCAATGGCGAGCCCTTCATCATAACGTTATTATCACACTGAATACACATAAATCTTCATTAAGCAGCTGACATGGTTTTAGAAAGTGAGATGATGAAGAATACTTTTTTGAAATGCCGACTGTTTTATATAGTCTCCGGAATTATATATTCTCCCAACGGTTTACCCTCTCGTCGTGGCTGGGAGGTGTTCCTGGGTGTCGGGCTGCGATGTACAGCGGGAGATTCATCCTCTAGCAGGGTATCCCAAGCTGATAAGGAGTCCGGCGTTTCCATCAGGAAGCATAGCTTAGAGTAAACCAATACTAGGATCCACGACCGTCCTGGTGTCCTGGTATCAGAGTCACATGGTGGCAAATCTCCTTCAGATTTGCAAAGGCGACGACTGCTTGTGGTAGTGACGACCTGGGGCAGACATTATCCAGGCTGACCTCGGAATTCAAAGGAACCATAATGACCTAACCAGCAAGTCTACGAAAAATGGTGATTATGCGGGGACCCGCACAACCAGTGAGGACGAGCCGTTCAAGCATCAAGTAAGTAAGTATATTTATTTATATGATCTTATAAACTAATCTTCTTAAGCTGACGCGAGGTTGGTACAGGTCTTCGTTGTCGTTGTTGTTGATGTTGTTGGTCGATGGCTGGCGTTTCGGCGACTTCGCCTTCCTCAGAGCCGTGATGTTACGTGTGTGACCCACTGAGGACACGGCTCTGGGGAAGGCGAAGTCGCCGAAACGTCAGCCATCGACCAACAACATCAACAACAACAACAACGACAACGACAACGAAGACCTGTACCAACCTCGCGTCAGCTTAAGAAGATCAGTTTATAAGATCATATAAATAAATATATCAAATATCTATGCCGAGGTTTATAGAAAGTCGGTCTTTCGAGTTAAGTAAGTATATTCCTCTAACACTAAACGATTGCCTGACACTATGTCCTGTCACATATCTTCTGTGGTTTACAGAAGTTTTTTTATAACAGTCTTTGTATTCTCTGCATAGAGCGTCAAGCATTGATTCAGTTTCAGGAATGGTTCGTAAAAAGCTGTTCTATACACTTTATAATTTTCAAAAGAGCTAGAGACTGTTGTTGTTTAAGAGAATGTCCAGCGTAGACTGTATGTATGTATACAACTGAAGAGGCCACAGAAATGCCTCTGCTTGATATTTAGGGAAAAGCTTTTCCGTGATAAGATGGTGATGAGACAATGAAAGAGGCTTTTCAGAGCGGAATTGTGTTCACAGAGGTTAATCAATGGCATTGGACACAGTTTGTGTTTTGAAACAGTCATTACCGCATTTTTATTTAACATTATTTTAAAAACCTGAAGTTTACAATTTATGCAAGCATGCTGTATATATACACATAAGCTATCGGCGTTGACCAATCCATCAGGGATTCGACTTCACTAAACTCTGGCACCAATATGGCGACCACGGAAGGATGGAGAATTTAGTGAGCCTGGGGCGCGGAGATCGATCCCACGTGTACAGACAGAATTGCCGCGAAGAGGCGTGCGTGCTGCTCAGTGGTAGGAGGTGCTCTGCAATACACATGGGTTCCATCGAGTGTCCCAGGCTCGCCAAGTCCTCCATCTTTCCAATTTCGGAAAATTGGTGCCATACTTGTCTGAGAGGATAGCAGCACTGGCTCGATAAATCGGTAGACATAATGAGTCATTGTAAAGGCCAAACAAGCATTCAATCATCTCCAACCCTGATTAATGAAATCGAACGCATGGCGCATCCTTCACGGATTGATCAACGCCGACAGCTTTTTAAAATCGAGGCCTCAATAAAATTTTAAAAAATAGGTTCGATTCAAATTAAGATTTTTTATTGTGTTTTTGTTTTTAAAATCGAAGCTTCCTTAGGCTCCAGTGTGAATATTTGGTAAGCACTGTCACTGACAGCGGCAGCGACATTCTACTAAGAATCAAGTCGAGCTGGAGCCGCTTCTATCACTTTTTACAAAAAGTTCGACTCACTTTGACACTGATATCCTTGTTTGCCGCAACCCCAGATAAACCCTTTACAATGGGCACAAAAGGAAGGCTGATGCAAGAGAGATGCTATGAAATTGTGACCAACAACCTATAAAAGTAAAAGAGTGACAATGAAAAAAAAAGCAAAGTATAGCAATCGACATCTAAAATTTAGGTACTGTACCTCATGGATCTTCCTTCCCATGGCATTACGTCGGTGTTCTTGGTTGAATGCCGCAGTGTGCTCGTCATGGTGCGATTCTAAATTGCTATAGGTGAAGTGGTGTTTAAACTAACGCCAAAAAACCACTCGTCGAAAACAAAAGCAAAGTGAATGAGAAAGTGGAAGAAACGATGGGAAGATGATTACTGATCTAAAATTACAGCACTAAGAAGTTCTACATAGTCTCATTTGTTAAGAGTCCTTTGTCTCGTTTCCTACCTTCCTTTTTTTGTTCTTAAATAGAACTTTTCATCCACAGAAAATTAATGAAAATCGAACGGATGAATAAAATAAACAAAAGGCATCACTATGGTCGAAAGCCCTTTTTCCCTAGCCTTCTATGTATGTGCTAGTGCAGTCTGGTTCAATCGTGTCTTGGACTAGCTACACTTCCCATCCTTCCAGGGTTAGGATTTCGGTACAAGACTGTTCTAGGATATTTTATAAGACCCGCATGGTGTGGTGGTGAACGCGTTACTCCCCGGAAAGGAAAATAGCGCGTTCGTTCCCCACCATAGACACCTGCGGTCCAGAGTTTTGCAAATATCTCAGCAACGTTGTGGTTGTTCTAGGATAATCCCACCTTGCGAACCCACAAAAGCTAGCAATTGACTTTGATGAAGACCTTAGAATGTCAATTTGTGCCATGTGAAGTGTGCAAATAAAAAGTAATTTTATTACGAAATGTTGTCTGCTTATATCAACGATGTAAAGGGTGAAATGTCCTTGCCAATTTCACATAGATGATCGAAGGGCGTTTGACGGCGCTGTTATACAATTTGAAACACTTATTCTCAGAACTTGTTTGAATGCTTGGTTTATGATTTGTTTGTACTGGACTTATCCAGAAAAACAAACACTCTCTGCAATCCAATTGAGAACTCTCCAGCCTGCCTATCTCCGGACTCCAGGAAGAATTGCTTGACCAGAATTCGACGACATTCAAGGCAAAATGGAAATCCTTAAGCAGCAACCAATGCCACAGGTTAAGGTTCGGTATTCGTGAACAATGGATGCGAGGAAACAAATCGAATGTCAGAAGTACTGGGATCCGCACAGCAGACGTGAAGATGGATCAAATAAAGTAAAAATATAAAAAAAATTAATCGCTTCAGGATTGTAAATGCAACCAGAACGAGCTTTGCACATGTGATACGGTAACTTCAGTACACACCAAAAATCTTTTTGTATAAAATCATGTTTGAAATAACATGAACATGATTAATCTCATTTTAAAGCAGTAAAAAAAACTTTCCTTATGCATTTCGTTAAATGTCTCCCTGCAATCATGTGGCGGCCGTGGTACGACGTTTTCACGTGAATTAGAGAGTTAGCTTGCTTTAGACAAGTCTGGCACCAAGTTCCAGACTCTGGAGGGATAACAGGCTTGTTGTACCTGGAGCGGGGTCGGCCCAGCGTTTGGTTAGGCTGGTCCAGCAGAATGATGAGCGGGATCACTACCAGTGCGTTACTCGCTTCCTCACGCTTAAGAACTCAGAGTATAAAAAAAATATTCCACAAAAGGATAAGCATTGAATGCTCAATACTTACTTACTTGGATGGCTCGTCTTCACCGGTTGTGCGACTCTAGAACAATTTCCATTTTTTCGTAGTTCTTCTGGTTCAGCCACTGTAGTTTCTTGGAGTCCCGAGGTCAGCCTGGCCAAATTCTGCCTCAGGTCTTCACCACCACAGGCAGTCGCAGCCTTTGTGGATCAGAATAAGATTTGCCACCATGTGACTCTGATACCAGGACACCAAGACAGTGGTGGATCATGGTATGGGTTTACTCTCAGCTTGGTTTCCTGATGGAAACGCTGGACTCCTCAACTTCGGGGACCACTCTGTGAGGTTCAATCCCCTGCTACATATCGTAGCCTGACAACAAGGACCACCTCCTAGCCACGATGAGACGGAAAACTGTTTTGAGAAAATTTTTAATAAGGAATTGCAGTAGGAAAGGCATAAAGTCACTAAAATCTGTCGCTCAAACCCGAATAATTTAGCAGTTGTAGTTTTAAGGTCGATCACTTCAAAGTCTGGCAGTTTTTCTAGAACTGGAACTGTTAAACATTTAGATTGGAGCTAGGAGAGAAGTAAAAGATTTAAAACATCCGTTTTTGTATCCGTTTAAGAAATGTCTTTTCCATTAAGATGTCGGTGCTGTGATAACGAATAATGGAAAATTCAAGTTCGAAGAATTCTGTTTACTAAAATATCGAGAGGACTAACAGTACTTCGAACTTATGTTTCACTCAAATCGAAGACACTTTTGACCCAGGTCGTTATGTTCAGTCAAAATCGTATCTAAGCGTGAAATATACATGTACAACCACATCTATATCCCTACTAGAACCAGTCAAAATGATTTTCAAGGATATTGTAACAAGCAGCAGAAATACAGTTGCAGATCAAGCTTAGAAAAGTGGTAATATGGTTGCGGAAACATAATAGAAGAGAAATCTTTCAAACAAGATGTTCAGACCAACTTAACATTCACAGCCTAAAAAAATTCTTGCTTCATATAATGGGGAATTTCTATCCTAAAAGTACCCTTTTGATTATATCACTTGAGTGTACCAATCCCAAGCAGCGATTGAAGGGTTTATAATGGATGGAATTCCTCAAACTCTCTATTACGAGCTCAAACTATTACGAGTTCCTCGTTAGTATCGATAGTGGTAAACTCCACTAAGTTAATGAATCTTTTAATAAAATTGAATTCAAACACAGAAGCTCGATTTCATCGGTACAGTGGATAGAATAAACTGAAAAATCAACAAAATTGGGCTGCTATCAAATGCGCTACTCACCTTCAGCAATTGAGCCATGTAGTTCGATTGCCACGTGCAGTTGCCCGTGCGGCTCAAGGTCTAACTGCAAATAACAATAATAACTGGATAACTCTACGTTATGTGAATATAATATAATAACAAAAAAAAAATTATTTTCGTTTTAATCACAATCTTAACTTATTATTTACTGCCTATTCTTTTTTTAACGGCAGAGAACAAATTGCGAAATATAACTTTAATGATGCTGAGATATTTGCAAAACTCCGGACCGCAGGTGTCTGCGGTGGGGAACGAAGGCGCTATTGTCCTTTCCGGGGAGTAACGCGTTCACCACCACACAATGCGGGTCCTTCGTTTCGCCTATCTCGCAGCTAGTTTTATCGATCACTTGCCATCAGCAATCACCCGTCAGTGGGATTGATCTGGGGAGCCTAAATGTGTTGGTGAACGCGTTACTCCCCGGAAAGGACAATAGAGCGTTCGTTCCCAACCGCAGACACCTGCAGTCCGGAGTTTTGCAAATATTTTAGCATCGTTAAAGTTGTATTTTCATTTTATTATTATTTAATTTTTATTTAATTATTATTCATTTTTTATTTTATTTTAAACATCTTACCATGAGCTCATTTACTAATTAAACTTAAAAAAAAAACAAAGGACCCGCATGGTGTGGTGGTGAACGCGTTACTCCCCGGAAAGGATAATAGCGCGTTCGTTCCCCACCATAGACACCTGCGGTCCAGAGTTTTGCAAATATCTCAGCAACGTTGTGGTTGTATTTCGCTTAGTAACCTGCCATGAAAATTATAGAAGGCAGAAAACAAAACGTTAAACATTGTAATTAAACTTTGTTTATTATTTATTTGCACAACCCGTCTTTACATCTACTGTGCATATCCCAGCATTTTTCCCTTTCAATTCGTTTCCTCGCATTCATCACCCATGAAGATCATCGAACTTTTCGCACATGGGTTCGTTTGCAGCTTAAAGATCTTGGTCTTATGACTGGTCGTGTCGATTATCCTTCGAGTCGTGGGACAACTGTGCTAGAGAGCTACCGCGCAAAATCTCAGGTAGTGAATTGGGTCTACAGAAGTTTCACACTAATTTCCCAACCTTGGGAGATGAGAGGTCTGATGGGCTCGCAGCAGGGTCTAACCATCATCGTGCTCGTGATGAATGGCATCACTACTTCCCGGCTCCTTAAATCAAGTTTTACAACACTTATTTCTTTGCTTTCTTAATAACGTGCTTACTTCTGCTTATTAGATCTATTAGGATACTTAGATTACCTATCCTCATACGTATACACAATCTGCCTCGTATGTATAGAGGATATCGCACCCTCATGTGTACACACAGCATTCATGAAACCCTCGGTTTCTGCCATCTATAAAGGCGGTTGTTTCGTATCTGCGTTCGCTTGCTGTTCGAAGATGTGTTGTTCTCCCTCGTTATTAGCACGTCAAATGTCGATGCAGTGCGATTTTTCGCGGAATGAGATGTCCATGCCAGTTAGTTCTCAGTACTTCGTAAAGGGTATTTAATAAAATACAAATAATAAATAATAGCACTTGCATATCGTAGAGAAGTCTCTGCTCTGCAGCTGGTACCACCAGAACGATGATTCCTGCGATTCGTTAAACAATCGCGGGCGATGTTCTGTGCGTTATATTGTTCGTAAATCAACGTCGGAATTGAAGTTTCATGGTCTGCATAAGTTCCGGCAATAGGCTTCTTTCTAATTCTGCATTGTTAGAAATAGTTTCAAAGCTCATTTAATGCATTTTCCTTCCGAATAGATGAATTACGACGTAATTTGCGCTGTCGACAAATTTAAAAGGTTAGAATTTTAGATGTTAAAACAACAGTTCCGACACTGCTGACAACATGGAATTAGAGGATTCCTGCACACAAGCAGATATGTTCAAGACTTACAAAATAACTCCATGTAAGCATCTCAATCATCTTCGTATCAATCGTCCACGGAGGTCTTCCAACTTTTCTGCGTGTGGCTTTGGGTGCTGCTTAAGGGTTTTTTGACTTTGTGACGAATGTTGTTCAATGCTGAATGTCTCGACGATTCCTCCTGCAATTCCGAGACACCCGTTCTAGGACGTTCTCACGTGAACTGGAGGGAGTGAACTGATACCGTACAAGTCTGGTACCAACATCCCAGCCGTGGAAAGATTACAGGGTTGGTGGAGCCGCTGCGGAGTTGAACCAGCATCTGGGTACGTTAGGCTGTCCGTGTAATGAACGGTATCGTTATCGCTGGTCTACCAGTTCCCTTCTGAACGAGTTATTCGTACCTGGTTATGAAAAAATTTTTAGGTGTGAATTACACATCAGCAAACCCCGAAGGTACTCAATCTGTAGTCGGTAAATGAAGATCGCTTTGAGTTGTGATACAAACACATTATTCGTCGCTCAGTAGAAACAGCCTCCCGAATTTTGCATATAATTTCGCGTGTAAAGCGCCAAGATAATAGCACTACTAAACGTAGCTGACTCGTTTAAACCATGCAATGAGCAGAAAAGAAGTCTTGTGAATGAAAAACTATCTCGCTATTCAGAAATATCAAGTTCTCTACGGAAATGTCTCAAGAATGGGCTTCCATTAAGCCTTGACAAGAATAATCAAAATTTTCCAGATTACTGAGATAGGAAGATGAGAGAAGTTTGTATAAAAAGATTTATCTGGCTAACGTTTCGATGTCTTCGACTTTTTCAGAGCTAGATTGATGGTTCACAGATGGTCGTTCTCGCGGTGTCGGTGTCGCATTGAGGAATCCAGTGTAGTGAACCACCGCTCGAATGCAGTCTCTTTCAGGACAAATGTTGATGTACCACCACTACCCACTACGGTCTACTTTTTGGGGGAATCCACCATGTAGTACTTGGTGTTTCACTAGTTGTTGATCATTATGAATTTTACTACGCACTGTGCCGGCTAGCGCGATACCGACTTCTGAGCATGCATTGCCGCCAATAAAGCGGGCTTTATTGGATGGCAGCAATAGATCAATACCTGGCCTGCATAAAATGCCACCGTCGAGAGGTGTTCCTCATTCGAGTGGCGCTCCAGTTCAATGGATTCAGGTCCATGTGAGAATGAAGACTCCACATAACAAAAACGAGCAGCTGTGGATAGTCGACACGAATCAATCCAGCGCTAAGGAAGACATTAGCCGAATAAATGTTTTCGTATCAACCACATGTTAGTGCAATGATCTAGAAAAAAAATCTATGCGAGAAAACCACAAAGGTTACCTCCTTAAGCCTATGTAAAAAAACTCATCTGGAGGAGTTCAACGAGTTCACATTTAGCTTATTTAATTCCGATTCCTTGTTCTCTGACCCATTATCCAAACATTTAAAAAAGGATAAAGCTCTCGGCATTGATCAATCTCTGAGGGATGTGCCATGCATTCGACTTCATTAAGCATCGTTTGGAGGTGATTGAATGCATACGTTATGGTGGGACGGCTCGATTATATAGGAATACCAAGTAGTTAAGATGATTCGGTCGGAATTTGCTGCTCGCCTTTGTG